TGTCCTGAGTAAGACGATAAACTACGTCCAAAAGCAAGGTTTCTGATCAGGAGGTTTTGAGGAGTATAGAACCACCTCTTAATTGCTGGTGTTCCAGGTTCACCCTGACCTGGGGTGGTAGAACCTGTTAGGGTCCCAACTATGGGTAAACAGTTAACCCTTAAACTGCGGTCAAAACACTATGAAAGTGTAAAAATAGGTCTTAATACCAGCAATATATTTTTGTAAAAAATTATTACCAGCAGTGGATTTTTGCAGAAAAAATATTAACAGCAATACATTAGTACCAGCAATATATTTTTGAAAAAAAAATCTTACCAGCCATACATTTTTCAGAAAAAATATTACTAGCAATACATTTTTGGAAAAATATTACCAGCAATAAAAATCTTGTCGGCATTAAATAATCCATTGAGGTTGATATATCGTAAAACAAAGGGAACGAAACGTAATCATTTATTTGCCCACAAAAGCCGATCGTATGACATTTCGATTTAACTGAGACATACATTACAGGTACGGTGATCGGAAATTCAGCGCTATACGCATTCGTTTTCTATGTGCCGTGTACCTTCAGGACGTTGGCGTTCAAGGCTCTCCACAACTTCCTGTCCTTTGTAGCTCTTAATAAATTTTGGGTTTTGGCTATCTCTCTCCGCCGTCCATTCACTGATGCTCACCAGGTAAGTTATACCTTGTTTGTCTCATTCCTGCTTACCTTCAATCTGCCATGTGAGTATCAAAATTTCCAAGCCTTCTTTCCTCGTTATGTGCTCTAAAAACTTCAATTTACTCTTCCTGATGTTATGTAAAAGTGTCGTTTTTGTTTCTATTGTCTCTAGACCAATTGCTCACATGTTTTGTCCATGGTATTCTCAAAATTCTTCTGTAGAACCACATTTCTGTTGCTTCATGTCTCTTCTTGATCTGTGAGGAGTTGGTCCAGTATTCCCTGCCATATAGGACGACTAATATTACATAACAGCTCAGTTGTCTTTTCTTTGTTTCAGACAAATATTTTTGTTTCTTAGTGCTCTGCTTAGCTTTTAGTAGGCACCGTTCACTATCTTAATGCGCCTTTAGATTTCAGTGTCGTCCTCTGTTAAGACACTTCCCAGATATTTTAATTGTACTTGTTTGATTTTGGTATCACAATTAGTTAATTTGCATAACCGTTCTCTCTTACCAGCCATACATTCAGTCTTCTTGCAATTGACGTTTAGTCCTTTCTTCTTGCTTTCATTCACTACCTTCTGTAGTAATTCTTGTCGTATATTTTCTGTTTGCTATCAACATACTGTCATCTACGTATCTTCACTGTACAGATTGAAAAAGTCCGGTGCGACGACCTATCCTTGTCTTACATCCCTTTCTGTTTTTGCATATTTATTGTAATCGTTTTCTGTTCGTACGGAATTGGTCAGCTGTCTGTATAGGTTCTTGATTATTCTAATAATCTTCCAAAATATGTCAAGGTTACTTAGAAATCCCAGCAGTTCTTTGTGACTTAATTTATCAAAAGCTTTTGCATAATCTACTACGAACGTAAAATTTGGCAGTTGATCTCACATCTCATCTAACTTTAACTGCTCAGTAGGGGATAAACTGGCTGGTGACATTGAATGTCACAAAAACCAAACTACTGACGTTTAAACATTCCCGAGTGGACTTTGAATTTCAATGTATTGGTGTCCTCTCAGGGAGGTCCCGTACCTTGAGTGCCTATTGAGACTTAAACTCAACCCAAGTGGAACTCGTACATACGATCCATCGCTAAAAATACTGGGAAAATGGCCGGTTTACTGTACCGCTCCAGCAAGTATCTTACTCCTCTACGTTTACAAAACACAGATCAAGCCGAAAATGAAGCACTGCTACCATAAAGCGAATAAGTATGCCGCCACCTAACACAAAAAGGACAGGAGTGGTTATGTCTGCATATATATATATATATATATATATATATATATATATATATATATATATATATGAGAAAACCGCTCATCTGGAGATGGAAAGGAGGCAGGTTTTGGACGAGTATGTCTTACGACTTTTGCCTTTTGCCATGGCACGCACGCAGGTCTTTGACTACAACCGAATACACACCTTCATAAGAGGTCACACAAATTTGTTTGTGACTAGCTTGATTGAAGCATTAGGATGATACAAGTTATGCAGTGTTTATGAAATGAAGGGACGTAATCTTCCGGTGCTGATGTCACACACAAAATCAGTGTTCGGTGACACGTATCTTCTTGTTGTTCTGAAGAAGCTTCTAGAACTGCTAGTTCTTTGACTAGTTCTTGCATGGATTCAACAAAAAGGATTAATGTTACGGTACATGGTGCCTGCGAGGATCTTTTCGGTTTCTTTGACTTATAGCTGGCATGACCAACTACATTAAGTCATCCAAATGCCTGGTTTCACGTAGTGACGTTGACTAGGAAAGCAACCAGCAAAGGTTTGTTGCCTGTGAGTATGTCCCTTCTAACAAATGTCGAAAATAGCGTACAGCTTAATAAGCTGCAAGGAGATCACATCATAATGTTCTCTACTAGGCCCTCTATTGGTGACACGTTTCATGAGAAAAAAGAAAACAAATTGGTTTCTATGGCCCATCCATTATTTGCTTATGACAGCACCTATTTCAATGGTAGAAGTGTCGAACTCCAAACACAACTTTCTGCCTAAAGCAATATCTGACAATTTACCTTCATGTGAAAATACCAATTTAATTTTGTGAAATGCTACCATAGCAGGGTTAGATGGAACTACAGGTTGCGATGGATAAATTGTCGTCTAAATGACGCAAAAATGAAAATAACGCTGACAACTCATTTTAACAGATCTACAGGTTGCGATGGATAAATTGTCGCCTAAATGACGCAAAAATGAAAATAACACTGACATCTCATTTTAACAGATCTACAAAGGTGCGATGGATAAATTGTCGTCTAAATGACGCAAAAATGTAAATAACACTGACATCTTATTTTAACAGATATATTTACCAAAATTACACAGAAATATCTTGAAATACTAAAGAGTAAATTTCTTCAATAAAATTGCCATTGGCTTCGACCACAGCCCCCAGACGACTTCGGATTCTCCCGCATCTCCTCAGAGCGGTATTCTTGTTTAAGTTGGTGAATGCTGCCATAAGCCACGCCTTCAGTTCATCTTTGGTGTTACAAGGAGTTTTGTTTGACTCTCGTTCAACTGCGCGTTACACATAATAATCAAGGGGAGTCTGCAGTCTGGGGAGTTAGGTGGCCAGATGTAAAGGGTGATGTGGTCGAAGAAATTGTCTGAGAGCCATGACTAGGTTCTCCTGCTTGTATGACATGGTACAGAGCCCTGTTACCAGACATAGGATCTTCTAACAGCCACCCTATTGACCCAGGGCAGCACTACCTCCTCAAGGAATTTGATGTAGGCTTTCGGGAGTTCTTTTCTTATCAGAACGATCAGAGTGAGTTTTCTGAGCTGCTGTACATTCGTAATCACCATTAGACTCATCCAACTTTTCCGAATCCTCTGCACTGCCTTCCGATTGACACCGAAAGACTCTGAAATATTCACATTAACACTTCCGGCGTGAATGACAAGCCGTACAGCATGTCGTTTCCAAATTTCAGGCGGAGTGAACTGTGCCATGGTACTATTTTTCTCACCGACGGTGCCCAACTGACTCAATTATATTATGCAATAGCTTCTCCTTTAGAAGGAGCAGGTGAAATTTTCTGCAGAGTTGATGCGTTGACCTAGGAAAATATTTTCTGATTTACCATATTCTCAATTCACTGGCTTGATACCATCCCCAAATGTTTTAATTTGCTCAAAAACTATGATTGCTGTATATGTTCCGCCATAGAGGAATTTACTGTAAAAATGTCATCAAGAGAGATACAGGTAAAATGTAGGCCAATCATTTGAAGGGCTGCGCTGCGTTCCTTAGACCACGCAAGAATTCGAACAATCCGAAAGGGGTTGTTTTGGAGATATTTTCATGCTCTACGAGAACTTGATGGTATTCATAGATAAGATATAATTGAAAACAAAGACAAAACATAAAACGCTTCCCTTGTAAAATGGCTGTTATATCGTGTATTTATAGATTCGACCTTGATAAATCCATAACCTAATTAAAAAATTATAGTTATTTTGCACAACCGCAATTTTTTTTTCAATATTGTCTCCTTTGATAACGCACTTAATCCATTACTTTTCACTTAGATTGAACATTAAGCAGTGAAAATTTCAGATCACAGTTAAGTTATTAATATCATTTTCTCAAGGTTTTACAAAGTACTACCCTGCATTTGGATCACATTTTTTTTAAATTATGGAATATATATATATATATATATATATATATATATATATATATATAAAATTGTCTCAAGGAATTTCATTGAGCTTCTGAAACCGCAGTCTGTGTCCCACTGAAGTTGATACACCATCAAATATTTTTCCTCGTATTTCTTTTTCTTTGAGTAAGATATCTTATTTTAATTTTCAAAAACTATTATTATTAAATATTATATAATTATTATTATTGAATATATTATTATTATTGAATATATTATTATTATTATTATTATTATTAAATATTAATAATTATGCATTATTAAATTATGATTAAAATATAAAGAAATGTTAAAATATAAAAAATCTCCCGATGATTTCCGAGGGAAATATATATGATTATGAAGATCAGATTATGATAACAAATTAATTTTTAAATATAAATACCTCCTAATTGACACACTAGTACCCTGATGATCCCAGAATTAAATATATACGATTATAAAAGATGAAATTATGATTACAAATCAAAACATTATGTTGGTTTGTCATCAAAAGTTACTAATTTTAAATCCATAAGATAAAAAAAACCCCTCCAATGTAGTCCATTGTTTAAAAATAACTGCGCCTTATATAACAAAAACAATTTATATATTGATTGATTGGCTAATTGATTGATTTGTTCATTACAGCTTACGTCCCCCAAGCACCTTGCTCAGAATTGAGCGATTCGCAACTGGCCGGGTTTGGTTATAATAATGAATCAGCTGACAGCATTGTGTACAAATATTGTCAAATCGAGATCTACAATCGTAACACGAGCCGAAATGAGACAATACCATGCATTAACGGATACAATTACAACTTTAATAGAGAAAAATCCTTTGTTTCTGAGGTAATTTGGTCGCTAAGGCGAATATTTTGAATTTACTAAAATAGAAGTTAATTAATTAATTAATTTTAAATTTTACTATATTTTGGCTTTTCGATTAAAACAAAATAAATCATAAAATATATGTATTTTTTTCCTCAGTTCTTTTTTTAAAATAATTTTATAATATTTTAAACTTAGAGTTTAAATTTAAAATTGGTAAATTTTATTTTCAATTTTATAGTAAAATTTTAAATTAATCAGTTAGAATGATTTCTATTTTAGTCTAACACTAACATTAACGTATTAATTATGATAACCAAGGTTCGGGGTCAAGTTTTTTGAATTTTCATATAATTGTACTTTGATTGGTTATTGAAGCTTTTATAACAGCGTTTCTTCTATTGAAGGGTGTTTGGTTGATTTAAACTTTTTAAACTTCTTTATTTTACATTCAACACCATCACTTGATAAGACACCAGAAATGTTGAAACAAAATGGCTATTTTGTAGTGATGTTATAACATGTTTATGTTATAATTTTTGAATAAATAATATTTGCTCTACTCTGTATTTAGCACTCTTTTAAGAATAGTATTTTTGGCTATTGGAATTTATTCCGTCTACACCAATCTTATACTTGGATCTCTTGAAAATATATTTCAATTGAGCGCTGTTAAATGACAAGCTAATTCTACAAACAACGTGGAGAACTTGTAGAGGGGAATTAACAGGAGATAACTGATAACTGACATCCATTAGCTATAGCACGTGGAACTAGAAGAGTCTACCCCAGTGAGCGAAATAAAGGGTTCAGTTCGACATTCCAACCACCTGAAGAAGGCCGGAGCGTACAGCGGCCGAAACGTTGTAATAAATATGGCGACAAAGATGAGGACAATAGTCTGAATAATGTAAATAATGTACATAATACCTCATCTCAGAAATATAGACAGATACTGAAGGGCCGAAACGTTGTAATAAATATGGCGACAAAGATGAGGACAATAGTCCGAATAATGTAAATAGTGTACATAATACCTCATCTCAGAAATATAGACAGATACTGAAGGGCCGAAACGTTGTAATAAATATGGCGACAAAGATGAGGACAATAGTCTGAATAATGTAAATAATGTACATAATACCTCATCTCAGAAATATAGATAGATACTGAAGGGCCGAAACGTTGTAATAAATATGGTGAAAAACATGAGGACAATATTCCGAATAATGTAAATAGTGTACATAATACCTCATCTCAGAAATATAGACAGATACTGAAGGGCCGAAACATTGTAATAAATATGGCGACACAGATGAGGACAATAGTCCGAATAATGTAAATAGTGTTCCTATTCTTTGTAGCTCTTAATAAATTTTGACTTTTTCTTATCTCTCCAAAACCCTGTTCCGCCGTCCATTTATTCAAACTTACTATGGATGTTATGCGATGTTTTCCTCTATCCTTCTTTCAATCTGTCCTGTGAGTATCAAATTTTCCAAGCCCTCTTTCCTCATTGGTCTGCTAAATTAACCACTCTAACCTAACCAAATCTGTTTCTTTATTCGTTCCTTTACTTATTTTTTACCATCTTGTGGTGTTCATTTTTATTTTTATCTTGTATATCTTGTATATTGCTTTATCTGATAAACCAACTCATATGTCCGTCACAAAACAGCTTTAATTTCTTTTTTTTTTCAGTGGGATCTTCTATGTGATAATGAAGCTCTCGCGGAACTTACACAGACGCTATATGCACTTGGATGCTTCGTCGGAGCTTTCGTTATTCCAATTTTTTCCGACAAATATGGCCGGAAACCAGCTCACTTTATTTGCTTCTTACTTCTTTTGATCAACGAGATGGTCCTGGCTGCAGTCAGGAGTTATTGGCTTTTTGCTTTACTCAGAACAACTGAAGGAGCCCTCAATTATGTAAGTCTAAATTTCGTCCGTCTAAAAAGAACACCTGTCCTAGGTATGACGATAAACTACGTCCAGCAGCAAGGCCTCTAATCAGGAGGTTTTGAGGTGCGTGAAACCACCTCTTAATTGCTGGTGTTACCAGGTCCACTCTGACCCGGGGTGGTAGCACCTGTTAGGATCCCAGCTATAGGCAAATAGTTAACACCCAAAATTGTGTAAAAATAGGTTTTAATACCAGAAATACTTTGTAATAAAAAAAAAATTATTACCAGCAATAAATTTTCAAGGAAAATTATTATCAGCAATAATTTTTAAAAATATAAGCAATACATACAGCTATACATTCTTTGGAAAAGATATGACCAGAATATAGATTTCTTCAAAGAAAAATATTTCCAAAAATAGATTTTTGAAGAAAAACATTACCAGCTAAAAAAGTTGTCGGCATTAAATAACCCATTGAGGTTGATATGCCGTAAAACACTACAACCCAAACAAACCAATCTAAAAAAACAACACTATATTTATAAAAGTTTCTTTTTCCTTCTCAAAACCCTAGATTAGTGTACTTTTGTCTCTGTTTAAACCTTAGATATATAAAAGCCTGTCTTTAAAACAATTTTAAGAAAGTCTTGCTGCCACATATAGTCAGATGCTCCTGCTATATATTTAGAGATTCTTGATAAAATCCAAAGAAGAAACTGAAATGTTATTGGTTCTGATCTGGCATCTCGGCTTCTGTCACTTTCTTTTGTGATGTCAACCAACACTCGTTGCCCCGTCTGTAATGTCAACGAATACTCGTTGTCACTTTCTTAATGTTCGTTGTAGTAGAGACTTTGCAATCGCAGATACAACTATAGTAACGCCGTTGAACAATACTGGTGTCCGACGCCTTCGAATAACACTCGCACTAGTCGATAATACTCGCTCGAAAAGTAACTGCCGAATAGAGTTATCCGAATAGTAATCCGTATAATGATGATATTCACTAACCGCCCCACGTGGTCGGGTGTGACACAAGGCCGGGTTTATTGTGGGGTATCCGAGCCCATAGGCTCGGGCAAAAATTCCCCGTAGACCCCGTAAAAAACGGGGTCGGGTAGCTGTCTACCATCCCAGACGAGACTCTGCCCTTTGGCATAGCCTTGTCTGGGTTCCTCTCTGCCCGAAGGCAGAGAGTTCGACAAGCAAACCTCCGAAGTAATCCGGATAGTGATCACTTAGACACCAGGCTAATTCCCATATATACATTTCCTTTACTATCACGTGATCTACTTATTCAAAATGGGATCGCCTGTGTTTGCTCTTTGGTGATCTGTGTTCAAACTCCACTGTCAGCAGTGACACTTTATTCTTATATATCACCTCCGTATATTTTGCTTTTTTATATAAATGCTTTTTCATGTTAATTGTTCTGATGAACTTTTTAAAAGACTTTTGATATTTGAATTTTTGCAGTTTGTAGATTTTGGAAATCTTCAATTTATAATCCATTTATTGTTGAAATGGCGAGACAACAACCGTAAGTTCTATCTTAACAGTTTTATCTATTACTTCGCGTTTGTGGAACTCTCTTTATTGGCTTTTTTTTCCAGTCTGTTTGATCTTCAAAACTTTCAAATGCATATCTCAATTGTTATCTTTGTGTCCAGAATAATGAATCCTGGTAAGGATTTCTAATTCTCTCAGGATTGCTTGGGCGTAGAGTTTGAGTGATGGATTAATTGTTTGGGTTTTGAAATAAGTCCCAAGAACACGAATTATATAGAGATTCGCAAAAATTTCAGAAGATGTCGATTCTGCCTTTTTTCCAGGTTAGCGTAAAGAAAAGTTGTTCTAAGGGATAAAAAACAATGTGCGACAATTCCTGTAACGTCAGTCCTCCAAATGACAATGTTTCATTGCCGAACGCTCTCTTAATAAAACGAATGAGAAAAGAAATTATTATCGTTGTTGCCAAATATTAGTAGCGTGGGTTTAGAGGCGACACAGAACGTAGCATCTTCTGTCCTCTTAATTCTTGTTCTTTTATTGTCTTCTCTCCTTAATAATATAATTTTTTATATTCTATAACACTGAGCAACAGTTTTGCGTCTTAGTGAAAAAATTGCCTTGCCTGGGATAAAAGATTAAAAATGTCTGTTTATTGCAGTTTTTTAAACTCTACATTTATTTAACTGAAAGAAAAAAAGAGAAGGTTTTATGAAGTTTGTCTTTAAGCCTTAGTAAGTCGAATTTTAGAACATTAATGTCAGGCAGTGTGTACATACACATATTGTAAACAGAGCCGAAAATAACAGACAAGTACTAATTAACATTAAGAACTTAGATATGGTAGACATGGAAAGGGAACAAAAACATAAACGAAAATAAATTAAATAAAAGGTTTAGTTAAGAATTTTGTTAGCATTTAACCAAATTAATATACACCTGAGGAAGGCAGGGGGTACTATAGTCGAAAAGTTGTGATAGCAACAAAGATGAAATAGTTTAAATAATGATAACTCCTCATTCCAGAAATTCAGACAAAAGGCGATCGGTTGATGACAACAAAGATGAGGACAATAGTCCGAATAGTAAAAAAATAGTTAAATAATGCATTATTGTAAAAATAAATTTGCAAAGGATTTTAAGAGTAAATCATTAACATTTGAGATTTTATTCAGTAAAAATTCACAATGGCATTCTTCTCTTAAATCTGAATTTCGATATACTTTTTACTTTAAATCATTTGCAATGCATTTAGCCATTTGTTTTCATTTGCAATACTTTTTCTCAGGACTAAATCATTTGCAAGACATTTTGACAGTAAAGAAATCGATATAGATTTCAACTTTAAATCATTTGTAATTCATTATTAATGGGAAACATTTGGCAACATCATTCTAATCGGACATCTGTCGATATTCATGGCTTTTTAATTTTTTTGTTTTACATGCTTCATTTCGATTGGTAATTTAATTCAATTTGCCTCAACTCAACATCACTTGATATATTTATTAAATCTTTTGGTCATTCATTTTCAAGGCAATTCAGATTTATGCCGATATCTGGTAAATCCTTTTTTGTTTTTCAGTAAATTCTTTTTCTTAACATTGAGATGATTTTTTTATTTTTCAGCATGCTGAATGGGATTCATTCCATCAATTTTATTAGAACTTTTTCCAGGATCAACTGAAACTTTGTTTTCTACTGAAAATTGGGTTCTATGGAAGTTACCTTTATGGTTGAATGACGCCATTAGCTTACGTCATCGTTATGCAATATGGCGAATAAAATACAATTTCTTTTTCAGCCACTATGCCCACGACTTTATTTATCGAATATGGTGAAAAGATTTATTCTTTTGACTTTTAAGCAACTTTTCAATATGCCTTCTTCTTAACTTTTCCTGGACTTTTCCCTTTCTTTTTTTGAGATTTGTTTTAATGAAATATTTTTTAAATTTCTTGCCTTAAAATAACATTGCCTTTTTGGCCAAATTTCCTTATTTTTTTTTGATATTACCATTTTTTGTCTTCATTTTTTTTTCACAGTATTTCAGTTTTTCTTTTCTTGCATTCTTTCAGGTGTTTTTTCTTTTCAGATTGCCATTTCCCTTTCTTTTCTTGAACCCTTTATTTAATTTTCAGGGTAGATTGTTCTTTGTCTTTCAAGAGACATTTCCTTTTTTTGTTTTTTTAGTTCTGTTCAGTTCTTTAAGCCATTTTTTTTTCTTGAACAATACTAAAAAGGTTAATTCTATACATGAACAGTCTTTTAATCTTACCTTCCCTTAGTTTTTTTCTGATCTATTTGAAAATAAAGTTTACCTAGATCACAAGACATTTGAAGAAGGACAGCTTTTTAATTTTCAAAATTTTGGGATTTAATGATGAGGATGAGAACATTTTTCAAATTTTTCCTTTCATTTTTCCTTTTCAGGTCTTCTTTAATGCCTTTTTTTTTATTTTTCTTTTGTTATACAATTAAATCTTTTCTTGTTTTCAAAGGAATTTTCTTTAATGAAACTAGCAGCATTCTGTTCAGCCTTTTTCCCTTTTCATTTTCTTGGCCAAACAAATATTTATTTTGAACAATGCAGTCAGTCCTTTTCTATATTGTGCTTTCCTATTTCCTTTTCAAAAGTTCTTTCCCAAACATTTCTTGGAATATAAACAACAACATTGCTTTTGTTCCCAGTGAAAATGATCTCAGCAAAATGTGGCACTGATTTTTTATTAAGAGACAAGATTAATTGAACTTTTTTTTGCTTTGAATCTTTTTTTCTAACAGTCTCTTACATTTTTAGATATGGCATAACACTTGAAATTAAGAAGCACCTTGAAAATCCTTTTCTTTACTCAGCCTTTTTCCATTTTCTAACCCCTACACCTCATCATCAGTTCTGACAATATTTTCTAAAATCTTTGATTTTTCACAAGAATGAATTCATGGGGCACCTTTTTCTTCATCATTCAATCATTTTTGATCATTTTACTTTTCGTCTTCTCTAACTCTTACACCATCTTTCAAAGTGCCTTCCGATTTCCTTTTTCTCTTTAGATTCTACACACAGCCAAACTTTTGAAGCACCTCAGTTTTCCTCAAACTCATTCTCTTTCATAATAATTGTCAAATTATAATCACTAATTTTTGATAAACATCATTTAATGAAAACATTTTCTTTATAACTCTCCAATCTTTAACCAAAATGAAACAAATCAACTGAACAACGTATTTGTTATCTAGTAGGCATGAGTTAATCCCAATCAGGTTATTAAAAAAATATTTAGTTCACAGGAATAAACAGAAATTGAATCACAGGGATAAAATAAAACAATAATGCCGGGCCATCAAGAAAACATGGAAGAAGATTGATTGGTTTGATTATTTAAGGGCATATCAACTCCTTATGAGTCATTTAATATCAAAATTTAATTTTTGGGGGAGCTTTGAAGTAATAAAATATGATATATGTTATTCTGCTTTCACAACTGAATACATGGTAGATGATATTCAACTTTTGTGCATATACATATTTGTGGACATCGTTATATATACAATTTCTTTGGACATGATTACTAGAAGCGGTGATGTGTGTTTTATGTTGTAGTTGTTCAAAGTTATATTTTGAAATACAGTTTGATTTCTTTAAGATATTGTAGGATATTATATGGATTAATATCATGAAAAAGTTCTTTCATGTTTGGTGATTTTGACATTATTAATGGCATGTCAACATCTCGAGTTACTCAATACCAAAATCTAAATATTTTGAACATAATTTTATGGTTTCGACTACAGAAAAATTTTTTATTGGCAATTTAACTATAAAATTTGTGTTCAAAATATTTAGATTTTTTTATAAATATTGTATTTTAGAGTTTAATATGTTTAACCAATTATTCAA